GGAGAGGCCATTCGACACGCCGAGAAAAAATATCTCTCGCTTCCGTTCTTGTTTATGGGGTCACCCGTCAGCCTGGTCCACGCGTTTACCTACTAGGAACGATTTGCGCTTTACGGATGATTTACGATATTCACGGGCCACTGCTCCCCTGTGTCAGACGAGATTATCGGCAGATATCACCCGGATACCATGCTGGTACACAGTGAAGCTCCATTTTCGGAAAATCAACTCCATTACCTCTTAACACGTTCACCGACCATATCGGTCGATATTTGTTCGTACACGGTATGCTTTGGGTGCGATAGGTAATAAGTAGTTATAATCACCCTTATCGTTAGCAATGAAATAGAGGAAGAATATTTTTTCCGGATTTCCGAGTTTCTGCTAAATCCGTATAATTCTAGCGACGTAGAATCGTAGAGGGAAAACGAAGGGAGTGCCATTTAAATGGGATCAGGCTAAATTATAGGGATCAACGAGCGTGAACAGTATTTACCCAGCCATTGAATCGAGCCGACTTTTCTCCCAACGCAATCTCTGACCTCGTTCGAATTGTACCGTAGTTCGTGACATTTCAACGTCAAGACAAAACGAGCCTCGCTAGCCTACACACGGTTGAAAGTCTCCTGTTTTTATTTTTCGAGTTTAAGGTCGCATCGACTTGTCGGTTATTAAGAGTTACGGCGAGGCTGTAATTAAAACTCGTTCTTCCTTTTCGTGTAGATGTTCGTTCAATTACTATTATCCTTTTAAACAATAATTCATATTTGAAAGTTACGCGTCGGCTAATGCCAGATATTGCTGCAGGAAATTAACGAGCGCTCTCGATTTTACTGCTCCAGAAATTACCTATCCCATCGAGGATAGAAGAAGCTACTTTCACATTAGCGGTGAGCTGAATCGCAGACGGAGCCTTTCTGGTTCCCTTTTTAAATCGAGCGTTACGCTTTTCCACGCTACTTTATCGTCGACGAGCTTCTTTAGCAGCATCGATCAACGAGATGTTTAACCAAGCGAAGAGATACATCGGGTTCAAAGGATAAAACCGAGCGGAAAGCAGTTACTTACCTTGACGGAGTCGTACTCGTAGGTATTTCGAGGATAGTTTCGTCCCTCGATTTATCGCGAACGAAAACGAAGCGTCGCGTCGCCTTTTAAGGCCGTTTTCATCGTTCCTCGCGTTCACGTTCTTTCTCGTCGAAGAAAAGAAATAACACGGCTCGTAGTTGTCGGATCCCAGGCACGAATTAGCTGATTTTTTTTTTTTTCGCCTGCTCGAGATAGCTCGTTTCCCGACGATAAAACGTCTTTTATGCTTCTTGTCGAGTATCGTCTCGTTCTCGTTATCGTTATCTGGGAAACGATGACAAACGCCACGTAATCAAGAAACGCTTCGGCATTGAGAATCATCCGGGCGATTTGAATATCGAGGCGAGGCACGTCTGCGTCATCTCTTTTTATCCTCTTACGCGAGGCTGCAGGTGGATAATGAGCCGATGGATCGCTGTTCGAGATCGAATATTCATCGACATTGTGTTTTTGTCTATTTTTAACGCGGCAATGAGATGAATTTTAATATTATTTGCCTTGTGATGCGTTGCTCGTTTATGGAAATGTTTATCCTCTTGATTTCTTTGAACTAACGTGACACGTTGAATCGGTGTCACGAATATCGTGTAATTGAAAAATTAAAGAAAGGAGTACAAACGTTAACTCGCATACAGCAGGTAATTAGTGTCTCCTAAACGAACAACTTTCTAACCCATAATTCTAATACCAAAACGAGCTTAAACGCGGGTAATTAGTTCGAAACGGTATTCGTTAGAAGACAAAGCATCAAGGGGAAAATAAATCGTCCCATTAAAGAAGGTCTGGTAGGAGCCGAACTTATTCTCGATACGAGGCAAAAGAATCGTTGAGCTGCACCATTCGAAAAGAATAAACGAGAAAACAGTAGGAGACGGTACCATTGTCGAAGGTGTACGTTTGCGACTTGCTCGCAAGTGTCGGTGGTCGAATCAGACCGACCGGAAGAGTGGGAGAAGCTCGAGGAAGGAGCAAGAAAGACTTGCGAGCAAGGAGGGACCTGTGGCTTCTCGAACAAGTCAGTCACACGGTCGAGTATGTTCCACTGGGACGTCCGTTCGTTACCACAATTGCGATTCCGCTCGAGGATCGATATCTGTTCGCAAAGTGCCTGGAAACGTTTCCAATTTCATCCGTCGAAATATCGCGTCGAATCGTTGCAGAAAACTCGCAGTGTTCCCTTTAATCGTTCGTACGAGTGATCAGCGATAAACGCGGGAAATTGTGGAATTCATTTGGTGTCTGTGAATGTGCATGTGCGCGCATGCGCCTGTGTATCGAAGAGGAATCGAAGAAAAGTGGTCGATCAAGTCGCGTGTTCGCGACCATCGATGTTTTCACATGTGAAAAGCACTTACGCGGAATTTCTAAGTCGCTCGAGGAGAAAGGTACTTTCTAGACGCGACGATGCCGTCGATTTTCCGAGCGGACACAGGCTGCGAGCGCGGATAGACGGATCGATATCCTATCGGTTCGAAGTTACGCCCTCACACGCGACCTTTAGCTGCAGCTCGAAAGCGAGCCGTCAGCCGTTAAACAGTCGATTAAATTTACATGGTGACGCAACTTGGCGCGCTCGTGGCCGTCGACGGCCGATGAAGAAGCCAGTTACGAGCCCGCGTGCGTCGCGGTAAAAAGAATCGTCTCACTCGCTTCGCGATCTCGCCTTGAAACTTCTAACGATCCGTCCGGTAATCGTCCCGATAAACCTTATTACGTGCTATTTTCCTTCGAGTCGGAAAGAAATAATCTACCCGCGATTTCGAGGTGGATAGGTCGTCCGGTGGCGAGAGATCGGGTCAGCTTCGCGACGTCGAAGCACGCCAAGCATCTCCACGAAATATGCTAAAGGATAGTGAATTATCGATCGCCGAGTCGGAAGCTGCGATATGTGGATGATCGCTGGAAATCGGGTAACATGGGAGCCGGCGATATGAACAGGGAAATACCGAGCAGCACCCTCGCGACTCTTAGGGGTATCCTGGTGAGCTCGCTGTCCAGGGAGAACCTAGGCCCTCACGATCTACCTATACCGGAGAACGGCAGGCACCGACCTTTCAGAAAGGTGCACTTTCACGAAGGTACATTCATGAAGTCATATCCTGTCGCGCCGGTAGTCGGATCATTTAAATATAAATGAAGGAAGCGTCGCGACGATTCATTTTGCCACTCGATGCGCTATAGATGTTGTTTTCTTAGATCACACTGTCTAACAAACTTCAATTTTCATTATTCTCTTATATTCCTTACGCATTTCTGAAGTAGTAAATGGAAAACTGAAGTAGTCATACGTTCGGTAATGGATATTATAATGTGTTATGCACATGGCGATAGGGCAACGTGTAATCATATCGGTGTACTGTTTCAACATAGATCTGAAAATAAATTGAAGTAAAATATGCATGGTCATGGTTTCCTGCAAACGATGCTCGTTTTACATCATCTGTAACCGATAACAGTGCGTATAGCTTGACTTAAGCTGTTGAAAAACGAACACGCGTGAATGTAGCTATAGCGAGGGTGAAAACTATTTCAGACTGCAATTTTACAATTGGTCCAACTAGTTCCAGAGAAAGTCTGAGAAAATTGTATGCGGTGTGTCGATCGTTGGATAGTGAAAATCGGGGAAAGGAAATGGGATTCTCGTGAAATTTCAACGCGCTATAGTCTCGCGTAATTTACTTATCAGATTTACGCGATCTTCGCTTTGCATACTTGTCCGTTCAGGTGGAAAAACATGGCATGATCGAAGCGTCATCGATCCGTCGTTATTGGATTCGTTATGCCAATCACGATCGCTGTTGCCATCCGTATACCAGGATGCCGATTGAACTTTCTATGGGACCATAAGAGACACCGATTTCGTTGTGTAAATTCGAGGCACGAAAAGCTTTTTCGTTACCAGCTACTTCGGATAAAATATGTTGGTGTAATTCTCGTTGCTGGATCGCTGGATTGAAGAACGTCTCTCGGGTAACCGCGCGTTTCTCCGAGGAAGAAGACGAATATACGTCGTTAAAGCTTATTTAACTGGTCCCGAGAGTAGTGGTTTCCGATCCCTAAGCCAACTAGTTTAGTGTACGCCCACGATAGGTCTTTCGATGAATTTGTAAAGAGTATGCTCTTACGACACAAGAGAATATTTCAAATGTCTACTTTGGTTAACGTTTGCGCAATCGGTGGCCCCGAGACTTATCTGGTGACAAAGTGGCGCCCAGTGGTGAGCAGGTCATCTCGTGGACAGGTCTGCTTTAAAAGGTGTTCAGCCTCTTGCTCGGGGAGAACCGGTGCACGCGAACAGATCGTTTCGCAACCAGTCTCACCTCCATTTCTGGCTAACCGTTTTCCACGAGCTCACGCTGCGTTATTTATTTCGACTCTTCAATTAGGAACGATGGAAATGCGGTTAGCTCATAACGGCTCGGTTCGAGCTGGATTTTTCTCGTTAATTCTTAATGAAAGGTTTCCTTGGAAAGTAACGTTAACCCGACATTGTTTGCCCTTACGGGAGAGACGTCGTTTCCTTTCCAGATCCCACGTAATTGCTCCTCGTCACGACGAGAAGAACTCATCGTCAGGCCCGTGACTAATAGAACTGCTGATGTCACGCGCTAAAAAGTCCAAGCGTTTGATAAACGAGCAACTATCCTCTTCCTCTTGTAAACGATCGATCCCTTCTTTATAATATTTTCGCTATCGATAATAGATGTCCACGATTAAATTTCGTTTCTTTTTGCAAGATTATTGTAATATTTTTCTTACCCCGAAACGGTTAATAAACGACGCATTCTGGAACGAAATTTACAAGCCCGTTATTAAGGTGCTTGCGCATAATTATACAGACAATAAAACTCGTCATGCAACGTTAATTCTACATCGTACTAACCATCATCAATGTTTCTTATCTGTTTCAGGTGAGTACTTGACTGTAGAGAAAAGCTATCCACGGTGGTCGGGTAATCGCGGTACGTAGAGAGAAACTGTTATTACGGACTGAACTTACGAGTAGAAACTCGATCGAGGGGATAAGCGAGCCGTGATAAATGAATTCATTACGCCCTCGCCGCGTCATCGCGTTTAATATTAAACACCCCCCGTGAAATTGGATAATTACGGAACTTGGTCGCGTGATCAGAGCTACATCGATTTACAAGTGTGAATGAAACGGTTCGTTGTAACGAAAGATAAACTTTTAAACCTTTCGCTGCTTTCGAATTTACAGAATTAAACCGATTCACGCGATACTAAGATAAGGGAAATTCGCACGAACCGAACGTGACAACAGGGCCGAAGGATTTGTCACGTGTTCCTCGACCCTTTTTCCCTTGTTCGACCCTGCGGTACAGTAATAACGCGTTCGTGCGAAATTGCAGCGACGTTGGTGCAACCGCGTCCCGCATTCTCGTTATATTTCATATGCACTTTGTCAAGCGCGAAGGCTCGAGATGAGACGAGAGGATCTCGCGAGCGTGAAGAAGCCTCCTCCTTGACACTTTATCCACCAGCCCCGTTGTGGCAAAGGGGAACGGGCCGTGACGAGCAATTAATTTCGTGTCCGTCGAACATTTGACGCCACTTCTTCGACGAAACTTCGCTCGGTTGTACGTCAGCTACTCGATAATTTCGCGGCGGAGGTTTTCAACTTAATGAGCAGTCGCCCGACAAAGTTGCAGCGAACACGTCGAACCTTTCTTTATTCGAAACACGAATCAAAATCGTATCGAAGAGTAACCAACGCTAGAAACACGAATTTTCTGTTGTTTTATTCTTGATAACAACGCACTGATAAGGACAGTTCACTCATAGCTATTTATTCTATATTTTACCCGGTAACACGTGTGACGTTCGTGGTAAATAACCGCGTGATATCGAGATAACCGTATCGACTGACATTGTGAGTCTCTTGCGAATCTCAGAATACGTAACATATTAATTCTGAGAATCACCTGAAAAGCGACTTCTTTAAATAGAAATAAAATCCTTTCGTAGAGCTGAAAAAGCTGATCGAGCAGTGAAGAGAATGTTAGAGCACGCTGGCAATGCAAGAATTGTTACGACTTATGGGAAACGGTAGCGGATATTACGTAGGAGAAACCTATGTGTCTTTTGATTTCGCATCGTATCATTGCGCTCTGAACATTGGTTTCACAACGATGCATTATTCATCGACGCTAGATTCCAGATGAATTTTCAGCATAGAAATTACCGTCACAGCGAAATCGCCGGGAAAGAGTGAGAAATGATTTTCTCTTGATCGCAGTCGATCGTCGATGGAAAAACGCCGGCGAGTTACGCATCGACAAGGAGATAATGGGATCACAGAGAAGACGCGATAACGACGTTAACGGAGCTTCCGCTATAACCTGATGAAATTTCCGGGTTCGATTGTTAGGAATGGTTTCGGCTGTCTAGCTGAGCTCATCTCGCGGATACGCGTCAATCATCGTAACATTCGCCGTCAATCGAACGAATGATACTTTTCAACGCGAGTTTCATACATTCGAAGGACGAGAGAATCCTTGATTTCCATAGAAATGAACCAGCTTTCGAAGAGTGCCGTTTCTATCGCGATATTAAGTCACCGGGGACTAAGCATGTTATAAGAAGATTCTCAGCAGCTGAATATTTTGTTTTTCTACTTAATACGTTCGGTGCCGCGATCAAATTTCAACTTCGCTATTAGTTACTTCAGATTAGTCGGAAAAATTCAATTATAATTCATTCCGTTTTATCTTTTATTATTTCAAAGTTAATTCAAAAAATATACTCCTCTTCGTTTAATTAAAGATAAACGCTGTGGGCCATCTGAGACCCCTGCAGTGTGAAATCCCTGTCTTGTGAAATCCTTGAATCCACTTAGAATTTCGTGAGCAACGTTTGAATTACATAAACGTCGAGTATCCAGATTCGCAACTTTGCTCGTACTTAATGTATGTGCTCTATTTTGAATTGAAAGAAAAATTAGATCGAGCGGTGCGTTAGACGGAAAGTTTTGCAAACTGGTTACACAATGGTGATTACTTTTCTTATTCCCGGAGAGATAGCTTTGTTCCCGAGGTGGGGAAGTTTGCCAAACACGGGCTATGCTGATGAAACGACGCGAAGTTTTCTCGACCCGTTCGAATTCAGCGCCGAAACTCTTGTCTCTGCTCGTTTTCCGTGAGATCGTGATTGCTGAGTTTAGGGAAACGGGGGACGAGCGTTGAAATCAAAATTTCACTCCGTTGAAACTGAAAGAGTATGTTTCGACGATAGGAAATGTCAATATAACGTTCCCTTTAAATATCCTAAAGATAATCTTGATATCTCTTTTAACCGTGCACAGAATTAATCTCTGACACGATTCTAATTTTAAACAACCACGGAAAGAAAGAAAATAAATATTGATTCACCGAGAATCGGTGCTATCTGTCGCCTATCGAACGTATTTTTCCACTCTTACATTGCTTCCTGATAACAAACCGCGCCCAATAAACCGTCTTCGTTCGTTTCGAATTTTCAGTGACATACACCCTCTCATAAGCGCGTCAGCGCGAAACGGTTAAGCCGGTGTCTAAGCTGTCGCAAAGTTTCAATTACCAAAGCCTCGAAAGCAGAATTACTTTCAAGAAGAAATGAAATCTCTTTCTTTCTCTCATCACGAGATCCTGTGAAACTTTCACCGGCACCACGAACGACTTTACAAAGAATATAAAAACATAATAGGATGCCTTGATCGTTCTGTCCAACGGTGTAGATCATAGAGCGAGGTTCGATGAGCTTGGCGGGCAAATGAAAGGCCGACCCCATCCAGACGACGATCCAGGATAATCTTCTTGATCCGTTTATACCGTGGATTTCGATTCAGCGCGGAAGGTCTCGCGAGATATTGTGTCCTCGTTTGCGATTCACGAATTCCAGCCGCGGTAACAATGCTCGGATTAAGATGCACAAACGAAGCATCGGATTGTTCCACGTTTCCATTCAACAAGATGAACTTACACTATCGCGCCTCTGTGTGTTCGGCTTTGTGGCCGCACCAGCCAAACTTTCGCACCACTTGAACGCGTACCGATAAGAATAATGCTCATCCCGGCAGAGGAATCGTTGTCGTTCGAATCACCATCCGTTTTCACTTTATAACGACAGATCGTTGATTTCGTTTCTTTTTCAATTTACCGGTTATTTCTCGTACAGAAAAGGTAGTACAATGCCGGTCGCTCTTTGAGAATTGCTCGAATGAAATTCGCTGCCGTGATATTTCATCTTTTTTCACTTGGAAATTTACATACAATTCAGGAACCTTTTTACTTCAGTTTATAAAGTGACATGAAAAGTCAATACGGAACTTCAGACTTCGGAATTGTGAATCTCGTTGCGTTCGTGTGAAACGCACCGTTAGGACTGTTTCAGAATATTTCAACGTTTCTGTGAAACTGTGAAAATTGTCCTCTTCAACGTAAATCTAGCGAATGAATATATTTGCGTACATATTCGAAATGTTCGGTATAACGTACGATCTGAGGGATTATTTTATAATAAGAACTCTACGCGGAACGGGTTAATACTATCGAAAAGCTGGACGAAGAACAGAGGGAGGGTAATAACATTTTTCCCAAGCTTCTTTTTTCTGATTCACAGTGGGACTTAGTTGGTACGGTTCCAAGTGGCCGTTGAAAAGGTCGTTGGACCGGTGGTAGATTTAGCGATGTTGACTTCTTTTTGTCGCGGGATGCTGACAGTCTCCAGCTAAGCAAGACGTATTCCGCTGACGTTGCTTTCCGGTTATTAAACCGTGGAAACCGGAACTAACTCTCGGGAAATTGCCGAAACGTTGATCGACGCCGTTTCACCGATATAAAGTTTGATTTTTCTAGCGAACTTAATGCGATCTCGAGCTAGGGAAACTGGTTCCGATATTTCGCATAACTTCCGTATCCGTAGTCGTTACCGAGGAAACGTTAACGAGCTTCTGCTCCTAATTACACTATCGTAAACGTACATTTCTGCATCCCCCGTTTAACACGGATAATTAGGTTCGATGTACCGCATCCAGTATTCCCTCTCGTCCGTTTATTAATGTTATTTTTATTTATTTCTTTCACCTTCCACGATACGCTCGAACGAAAGAGCAATTGGAAAGCAACGATCGATTCTTCCACTAATTTAACCGGCTGTTAGGCAGAAAGCTTTCGCGTACAATTTAGTTGTGATGTTTCACGGTAGACGAGGAAAGGTCTCGATGGATTTTAATTAATCAACGGAAGTTGGAGGAAAGGAAGGATGATAATAAAGAGGAAGGTAAAAGCAAGACGTTTCGACGATGCAATTATCGTCTCGAAGCAACGGGTCGGGTATATCGAGCCGTGATATCGAACCTCTATCTTTCGAGGCTGCTTGGCTCGCTGGTCCCACCAACGAGAAGCTCGATAACTCTCGATAAGTCTGTCAACCGGCTCCGCAGAATCGGCTACGGATACGGGAACAAAGGAGCTGCGGCGTCGACGTTATCTCGATCGAATAAAAATGCCAAAGTCTTCCGATACACTTGACATAAATCTAGCCGAACGATAAAGGAGAAGAGGTACTGCGGTAACGAGCGGATACGGTCAATCGTTAATAAACCACAACTGTGAAAACTCGGACCATTTCGCAAAAACAATTTTCAACGAGCCTTCGAACGGAGCACCGTTTACGGTTCACCGTTTTCCAGAGATTTTCTCGAGCTTTTAGTTTGCACTCTGACCTGGAGGTTTGCGAAGTTGGTCCATGGGTCTGCGAAAGTACCACGATCGAATATTAAAGCGGTTTGAAATTTAATCTCAGCAAATATTTAAAATTCCCTTTCTTTCCTCTCTTTTTATAACCATTAGTGCAATTAATATATTAAAAAAAGAAACATCTAGTGTAGCAGATTTTCGTTGAAATCTTCCTACATTAATTTAGGATCTTTTTTGTCAGAGATCCAAGAGCAGAGGTCCAGAAA